TAGGTGGACTCAGCATAGAGACTGTATAGGTGGACTCAGCATAGAGACTGTATAGGTGTTGTATAGGTGGACTCAGCATAGAGGGACTGTATAGGTGTTGTATAGGGGACCCAGCATTGAGGGACTGTATAGGTACTGTATAGGGGGACTCAGCTTCGTAGGGCTGTGCAACCTTTTGGGGTTATCAGCAGAAATCAACATTTAACTCAAGGATCACTGAGTCTGAGGCACACTTCAGGTAATATTGTGCAAAATCAGCATACTTTCTGAGTTACAGACACCTAAAAGATATACTTGAGTTTAAATTAACTAGTATGATTTCAAAATAGTCATAAAGTATTTTTGGGGTACTCACTAAGTAGATATTTATTGAAAGTCTACAAAATACATAATTTTGGTTTTTTGTGCATTTATTCATTGTGCGGTTTTCTAAACATAAATATATAATGGCTTTATGGTCCTATAACTTACACACTGTGCAGTTCATTCATTTAAAGTGTATGTTTCAATGGTTTTTACATTGACAAAGTAATGCAGTCACCACCTTATTAACTTTTAGAACCTTTTCATCTCACCACAGTGCGACCTTGTTCATTTTAGCTGCCATCTCCCTTCCGACACCCTCCAGCCTCCAGGTTCTTGCAATCAGTGACCTACTTCTGTGTCTTTGGATTTGTCTATTCTGGACATGGCCTCTAGATGGAATCACGTGTGGTCTTTGTGGTTTGACCATTCTCACTGGGTGGGCCATTCCCCTGGCCTTCCGTATTGTGCTGCACACTAGCGCTTCCTTCCTTTGTTAACGGAGGTCTCCTCTATTGTAGATGCCACACTTTGTTTTCCATTTGTCCATTGATGGGTGTCCACTTCTCAGTACAGTTTCCATTGTTGACTCTTGGAATGAACCGGGGGTGCATGTTCACATGCAGTGGTTCTGCAGACATAGGTTGTAGCACTCTCGGTATTCAACTAGAGTGGAGTTGTTGGGCTAAACCTCAAAGGTACTGTCATTCCGTCTTCAAACCCAGTTCTACCACTTTACATTCTGGCCAGCAGTATGTGACGGGTCCAGCTTCCCACACCTTTGCTAACATTTATTACTATATCTTTTTGATATTCAAATACTGTTGTTTTTAAACAACATACTATACTGTGGATATTTTTAATATTAAGATAGAAGCAGAGTCAAGCAAGTCTCTCTGTCTCTTTCTGTCTCTGTCTCTGTCTCTCTGTCTCTCTGTCTTTCTGTCTCTATCTTTCTCTGTCTCCCCTCACACACACACACAAAATTCTGGCACTCAGGAAGCTGAGAATCATGATCTGAGGTCATGCAAGCTGGACCATATAATGAGACCTCCCTCACACACACACAAAAAAAAAAAAACCCAGGAAATGTTATAACCCTAAGGGAAAACAAAACAGCAGTATTCCAAACACAGAGATACTCCTGCAGTTGTGCATGTGCTACGGAAGGCAGCTCACTGTCCTCTTCAGCATCTTGTTCCTCCTCAGCATCATGTGGTCCTCTGGCATCCTATCTCTCTTCAGCACTCTATTGTTTGAAGTCAGACAGACACAGATTGGAAGACTGTTGTTGTCACTGTCCAGATATTTGACTTTGGGTTGAACTTCAACTTAATCAGCATGTGTGATAATAGAGGGTGCTTGCAGAAAAAATTCTATAGCGCTCCTGTGTAGGGGCTGGTAGCTAATCCACACTCAAGAAATATTAGTTCCTTCTCTTTCTCCAGAATCCTTAACTTGACTATCAGAGTGAGCAGAGGATACATCATTTCCCCTTTTTCTGTCTTTCCGTTCCCATTACTCCCAGAGGTGTGTGTGTGTTCCTACACACATGCATGCATATGCATGAACAGGTATGTGGTTTGAAAATGATAGATGGTGTGTAGTAGCATTAGAAAACATTATGCTAAGTTTGTGTTCTATCCTAGCCTTCAGATATTTGCAGTGAAATTTGAGGCTCAGATGAGTGACCCCATAGTAGTGGGTGGTTTCTAGTTACTTATTTGGTCTAAATTCCACTTACTAGAGGAGAGAAGTAGATAATGAACATGGCTTCCAACAATACCTTTTATACAAAAGTTTTGTGGTTTATTT